TATATATATATATATATGACTAACCTTGCTAAGCTTTTATTACTTTGACAATATAGTTGATAAGCCACTCCGATTGAAACAGCCATTTTCCAGTCTCCAAGTTTCTGGGCTAGCCACACAGCTTCTGGAATTAGTCCACTGATGAGCAACAAATCAAGAGTATATTCTACAGTCCAAGTACAAGACAGGGCATTATCCCTAACTGCTTCGGTGACTCTGGAATGTTGCAGAGGAATAATACGAAGGCACCCATCTATAATAAAAAAAAGTACTTGTTGTGAGTTTATTTTATTAAATTGCTCAATGGCCAATCCTTTGCAAGCTTACTTAAAAGTAAGACCAAGTGAGTTCTGAGCCTGTTTTCAGATAAGCTGAACACAACCATTAGAACTGTAGATCATTGGCATCAGATATCCAACCCACCAAACATCCTACTTTTATCACAGAAATTTAGACAGGCAGCTACAATTTTCAGTTCTGCAAGAACAGGATCTGTCACATTGGATGCATTTTATGGAAAGAACATTTTTCATTTAGAGAAATGTCAGAGATAAGTATTATGCCATTAGTTTACTTAAAAGAGAAAAGGAGCAGCTAAATAGACTAGATAAATTATAGGTTAGGAAATAACAGCAAAATACTATCCAATATCCAATAAAATCCAATCCAGGTTTTGTGCATTTCTATAGGGCAGGAGGAAGGAGATTAATACAGCTCTGTCACTATAGCAGTAAGCAAGCATATGAAACAATATCAAAAGGTACCTGACTTGATATGAAGTGGCGGTAAGATACCAACACTGTGTGGAGGATGTATATAAATTGGCTCATTAGTGAAATAGGCTGCCATGAATCGGGCCAAAGACTGAATCACTGCCAGAGCAGCTTCAGTGTGAATATCTTTTATCCATTCAGCATCTAAAATGAACATTCAAAACAATCTGAGATAACTGAATGAAGTAAAAAGCTCAAAATAAAGTGATTACTGTTCAACATGTAAGAATCCTTTGGTCTTTCAGAAACAAAAGTCAAAGACTGCAATCTTATACTAATATAAGTCTTACTGATCTTAATGGAACTTACTTCAAATAGAAATAATAACAAAAGTTAACAATAAATGATTTGTGTTGCCCAACACCAGAATAATCCTGAGCAGCTCACAACAGGAAAATAGAGTACACAATGAGTAAGAAGAGAAACCAAGTAAGAAGAAGCAAAAATAAAGTTCAAAAATGTCACCCAATGTCATAAATATATACATCCTACAAAGGGCTCCAATCAGGTTAGATAGGACTATACTGAACCCCCAAATAGCGACATGCAAAATATTTTGAAGTGAACCATTCTAAATTTCAAATTTTGCCTTGTTTTAATGCATGACAATCAGTGTGCTTTAGGAAAAAAAGAGTTGTAGCAGGTATATATTTATGATATTGG